ATGCCAGTGCGTAGGAGACACACGAACACCACTGAACGCCTGAGGAGAAGACTGCATGGATGGTGTGCTCGGTACATCAAGTGCGTACAAGTCATGGCGAAGACGACCGCTAAGCAGAACGGCCCTCGTGTCCCGATCCTTGATAAAGAAACGAAAAGGATGAAACTCAGCAAGGACATTATTATCACGTGTAAGTTGAGGAATAGACAACAAACTACGCGTAGCAGAGGGAACACGAAGGACATTGGAAAGATGTAGTTTGCGAAAATTGTGTGCAAGGAGAGAAGCCTGACCAACATGAGAGATGCGCATACATGCTCCGCTGGCGGTGTGCACCTGATCATGACCACGGTATGGCTCCTGAGTAGAGAGCTTGCCCATCTCGCGTGGTGAGGTGGTTAGTAGCGCCGGTGTCCATATACCATGATGGATCAATGGAGTAGGACGGAGTGCGACCATGATCATGAGTAGTCACGGCAGCGGCAGCTTGCTTGTCGTTTCCTTTGCCATTGTTGCCAAGGTCCAGAAAATCTTGCTTGTAGTGACGATGACAGCGAGATGCAATGTGGCGCTCCAGACCACACAGCTGGCAAGCCTGCGGGGCACCACAGGAGGAGCAGCAAGCAACCGGTCGGTTGCCACCTGTGATGGATGGCGCATTGCCACGCGGGGCCGGATGCGAAGATGGTGCCGGCTTGCCCCCTGAAGATGAAAGCCGCTGAGGTTTGTCGCGAGTGGCGGCGTTGGCGGAGGCGAAATCCGGTGAGACACGGCGGGCCTTGATGCGCTGTTCACGGCCAAGGAGACGGGCATACAGCTCACGAGGTGGAAGTGGATTGTCACGGCCATGAACGTTCTCAACGAAATTGTCATAATCATCATCGAGCCCGTTAAGAACGAAAGTGGTGAACTCCTCATCCTGCAGAGACTGGCCAACCGAGGCCAATGTGTCGGCGAGACCCCGCATCTTGTTGAAGTAGTCCGTGATGCTGAGGTCATCAAGCTTGGTCTCACCAAGCTCGGTGCGTATAGAGTGAGCACGCGCCTGAGACTGTGAGGAGAACCTGGTGTGAAGCGCTGCCCACGCCTCCCGGGATGTAGTAGCGAAGATGACCAGCGACGAGACGCTCGGAGTGAGCGAGGACTGGATGGCAGAGAGAATGGCCTGATCCTGGGCCACCCATGTATGATACGCCGGGTGATGAGTGGGCGGACACGGGATGGATCCGTCAACATAGCCCTCCAGATAGCGACTGCGCAGAAGAGGCAACACCTGGGCACGCCAGGACAGGTAGTTGTCCGGCGTGAGCTTCACCGGCAGCAGATGCGAGAAGTAAAACGGTGACGGCGCCGTGACCTGAGCGGCGTGAGCATGCATCGATGGCGCGTAGGGACCCGTCGACGGGGCTGTCTCGAGATGAGGAGCACCCGCCGAGTAGACGCCAGGAGCACCGAGAACGAGGGCGTTGGCTCCGTAGTTCATCGCGGCCCCGTAGGATGGCTGCGGCGGTGCAGCCACGAACCCGAACGGTGCGGAGTAGGGTTGGTGCGGCGACGGCGCGTAGGGCTGCGGCGGCTGCGCCAGGAAGTGCTGCTGCGGTGGCGGCGGGGAGTAGATCGGCGCCGACGGTGGCTGGTGGTGATGCGACGGGAGAGCCGCATAGGGTTGGTGATGATGCGGCGCCGTGTAGGACGCCACGGGCCAGGGGGACGGCGGCGGCTAAAGGGAGCCCTGGGCCGTCGGCGACGCACCATACACGGCAGGAGTGACGCCACCGGGCGTCTGCGCGACGACGCTGTAGGGCGGCTGCACAGCAACGCCATGAGATGGCGGCGCAGTGAACTTAGCAGAGGAGTCGGCCGATGGATTTGATTCGATCGGGGACTCGGTCGGCGGCAGGGCCCCGTAGGCCGACGCAAGGGGCCGAGAAGCGAGGAACAGTGACATAGGGGCAAGGGCCGGCCTGGCGGCGGTGGCAGTGACGAAGGTCGGCGCATCGGCGGCGGCGGCGGCGGGAGCAGCGGAAGACATTGAAACCCTAGTTTGATATCATGTAAAGCACAATATGTTGGGAACTTGCTCGACATCCTAAAGGGGGTGTGCTCTTTCATTATATAGAGGTACCAAAGAGTACTATACAATGTATATTAATACACAGACTACGTATATATACAGTCTAACATGCATGACTGACGAGCGTCCGCGCTGTGTTTGGGCTTTGCATGCAGATGAAGGAGTTCTACCAGGCGCGGAAGAGCGGGCGGGTGGTGACGGTGTCCGTGGCGGGGAAGCAGGTCCCGCTCTACGGCGCGGGCGCCAACCTGCACAGCAAGCCCAACAACGGCCGCCTCGGCCCCGCGGTGGTGCCCGTCAGGCTGGCCTTCGTGCTCCGGGCGCGCGCGCACATCCTCGGCCTCCTCCTCCGCTCCAAGTTCTACCGCCGGGGCGTCTGCCGCCTTGACGTCCGTGAGGCCCACCTCGGCAAGCCCGTGCCCGGCGTCGCCGCCCGCTGCGAGTACCACGACGGGAGGTGACGGTAGAGCGTTGGTGTTGTCGATATGGTTGTGTTTGGTTGGGTGACGTGGATTGCAACGTCTGAATTCAGGCGTGCGTGGTGAACTGAACTGATGACTGATTTAGCTGTTTGTAGGCGTGTGATAGTGTTCGTGTCAAAAGATTTCCTGATGTAACGAACCAATTGTGTTGTGTGATTTTGGTTCTTGGGACAACGGGGCTAAAGGCTAATTTTAACTCTGAACCACGCATCCGAATTCAGAAATCGCATTAGGCAAAACTGCTCGCCCGTCATGCCCTTTCTTTTCTGAAGCAAAGCTACACCTCGGTAGTTCCGTCAGCTATATATGTTCGACCGTACTCGTTTGGGGTAACTTTACATGGTTTTTTACCCCTTGTATTTGTGTGTATGGTTTGGTGGCTTGCCTATTAATGATGATGAAAAATTGCATCCCACACAGGCCAAATTGATCATGAGGCTTGCCTATTTTTACCATTGCTCGTCTGCTTGAGCACAAATTTGAAGTAAGCATCTCTGTAACGGGTCACTTGTTCTCCATGAACTGTAAATCTCTGAAACCATTCCTATATACACCACACACTAGTAGCATGGCAAAATAACAACAATTCAAGTAGCAAGAAAAGGAACACACTACACATGGAACAGAAAAACTTAAGCATGATGGGACATGAACGATTGCCATTCATTTGAGTTCCCCTCGCAGTCATCTTTGCTTTCCCGACCTTCATGGCTTCCTTATGTGTAGCAGCAGCAGCATTGGGCTTAACCAACACATATCTTGGAGGAGTAGCAGACCCCCTCAAGACATTTGAATCTAGAGGCACCTGTTTCTCGGTCATAGACTAGGAGTCCTTAGCATAGGACGGCGGAAATTGACTCTCGGACAAGACAATGGCCTGACTAAACACTTGCGCACTCATGCCCTAAAAGCTAGCGTTAGCATTAGGACTAGTGGAACACACTACGCATGGACAGTAAGAAAGACCACCGCACATGAACAGTGAGCATAGTGCACATGGATCATGAAGTTCAACACACCACCTTATGACTGGTCTTCGCGCTCATACAATACCATGCAGTGGTGGAGCTACAAAAGAAAAGTTGGGCGGGCCAGAGCGCACAAAATAAGCCATGACATTCGACAACGGTGGTGAGCGCCATGGCAGCCGACGGCTGATGTGCACTGTCGGGCCCTGTGCTCCTCCTCTGAGTGCCTTTATTGAGGAATGATCGAACGAATCCTTCAGTGAGGCTATTGCTTTCCTGCTTTGCATGTAGGTCAGCTTTGTGGGCTAGGTTCTATAAAAAATGCTCTAGCCATGGGCGGGCCACGGCCCATTGAGCCTTGCTGAAGCTCCGCCGGTGATGCCATGTAGTTCAACACACTAACCACACGTACATACTTGCAAACTACCATACTACACATGCTCTGATTCACAAGCTAGTATCATATCTCCCATAGTATCATTCTTTTTGACATGGAAAACAACATCAACATCTCAAAGCCTACAAGCAACACCTAGCATGCTACCAATTCATCACCAGTAGCTACCACAACATCACATTCTCACAGATCAATAATCTACAATGCTATCACATGCTTCACAAATCTAAGCTGGAAGGGGTAGGGAGGAGAGATTGATCGAACTTACAACCATAGGTGAAGCTAGATGGAGGCGTGCAACATGTCGGAGAAGAGGAGGAAGACCAATCGTCGCCGCCGTCTACTGGCGGCCAGAGGAGACGCGTCATTTACGTGCTCGGGAGGGAGGGGGGAGGGGGAAGTTTGGGCGGTGAGCCCGGGTGGCTATATAAGGCGGCCCAATTTCTCCCACTATCTAATGCAGGCTACCAAATGCGGCCTTGTCATCTGCAAGTGTTAATGTCTCAAAGAAAGGCGCGTTTGCATGCAGAGGGCGATTCAATCTCCCGGAAGCACGGCACAACCACGCAAGTCCGGCGTGTTTCTCCAGCATTCTCCATGGTTTTTAACAAGCTACACTTCCTCTATCGAGTGCTTCCTGTGTATTCAAACGAGTCCAATTTATCACCAGAAATCGTTGTATTTACATATTGCTACCTTTGTTCCTAAATACGAGCGTTTTGGCAGTTTAAATTAACTGCCAAAACATCTTATATTTAGGAATGGATGTACTAGTACGTACTTTGTAATTCATCCACCATACATTCCGCATTCAGAAACAGAACTGCGCCAACTCTGAATGCTAAGTGCTTACCCACTGACCCCCTTTCTGAAGCAAGCTACATACAGTTAACTATTCCGGTCAGCTATGTACTGGTAAGACAGTAGGAGGTTTACACGAGGCTAAACTCATGACACTGCCAATTCAACGCTTGCAGCGTTCATGTAATAGAGAAAGGTGCTTTTGCATGTCGAGGGTCATTCATTCTCCTGGAAGCATGGAGCAAGCCACTCTTAACCAGGGTGTTGTGTAGTGTATGTCATGCTTGCTCATGCTGCACAAGGCTCACTTTCTCGCTAACTCCACATCTCGCTGCGCGCATCCTAATGCTGATGACAAAGGCAATGAGCTGCACAAAAGCTCATCAAATCTTTAGTAACATGTGGTAAATAAATTTCGAATTGAACAGAATTCAGAAAGGTGTTCCACTGTAGGCCTACCGTACAAAAACCAGCAACCATAATGCTGAAGCCTTTGAAGTTGAATGGTGTTGTTTCTGAAAGGAACCATGCTGACACAAGGAAACAAGATAATTAATTTCAATTCTATACCATTTGGGAAACCAAGACTGAAAAACTTGCATCCGTTAATTTATGTTCCCTTACCTGTCAAGGGAGTAAAGACAAGTGGAGCTAATATGCTGGCAAAAGAACTAATTCCAGATATACAACCTTGAGCAATTCCCTGGAAGGGGACACCAACCAATAGTTTTGATGAGCAAACTCACAAGTGTAAACTGTTGGGTAATAAAAGACAAACATCAGCAACTAGTCAAGTTACCTGCTCATTTGATCCAACACTTTTTGACACATTGGTCCTTATCTACAGAAGTTGAAAAGATCATCAAGTTTCTTTTGAATTTCTCGGAAGTGAAAACGAAAAGCTGAGCAAAATATGGCTTACAGATGGGTGAACAAAAGCACTCAAAATTATAAACGCTGCAGCAAAATATGGTACCTGTGAGATAATTACGGCAACGTTAGAGAACATAAAGTAGAAATACAGTACTGCACTGCGGCAGATCTACGTATGTTATTGTTGCTGCTGTGTCGACACAGCAACTGACAAATGCACCAAAGTATGGAAGCAATTGCAAAGGCCATAGGAAGTACCCAGTACGACCATGCGATGCCATATAGGAAAACCTGCAAATATATGAAAATTATTCAACGATCAAAACCGTGGTATCCTAAAAACTTCAGCAAGTAAGAGAAAAGATTTAACAAAGGGCTTTTACATGAGTGCATCCTCCTAACAGCCCAACAATAAGTAGCATCTCCTCACCAACGATTGGAGCAAATATTGGCATTACTGTTAACTGCAAAGGTGTTACAGGAAGTCAAATAAAAGGTAGAATGCATACAAGAATATGAATAAGTACTCTTTCAGCCTTGATCTTTTTTATAGGAAAAACAGCTACGGAGCGTTGACATGGCCACATGGGTAGAAACTCAAGGCATCAAGCTGGTCTGCAGTTACAATGGTATTGGTACCTGTGAGATCATTCCCGCAGCACCGGCAATCAGCATTAGATTAGCAAACTCGTCTTTGCTGTAACCAAACTGCGCTTTGAGGTAGTACTGCAAATAAATCAAAAATTAAACCGTGTTCTTTTTTTTTGCGGGGAAAGTGTGCTTTCAGGTGGCACTAGTGTAACACAGATAAGAGGAAAAACAGATACTCTATTGCAATTATTTGATCAAGAAGTAAACAATTCTGGTGTCCGTTTAGTGAAAATTATTGCCAAAAAAGTGTACTAATGATTAGACGACTGAATTATAACAGTGCAATAGTGGGCACTGCTAATATTTGTTTTTGTTATGACCAGCATATACTACAGCCCAGGCAGTTAGGGGCCTGGCCCAGTTATCTTATCGTTATTAGGGACTTAGCCCAGTTACCGTATTTGAAGATTATATAAACTCATGTAAGGACTCGTTTGAAGTTAAGCAGAAGCAATCATATTTGCTCGGCTTTCTGAAGGGAGCCGGGAGACCTAACCCTAGCCGCCGCCTCCTGCGCCCTCTCTCTCTGGCGCGACGGCGCCCCAGCGCCGGTGACCTCGTCTTCCTCCACGCCAAGCCCTCTTCTACCCCTATAACCTACGAGCTAGACCTGGTAGGATCCTAGCTCCTATCAACCTAGTATCAAGTGTCTCAGGCTCGATCATGTCCGCGCCACCGCCCACCCTCTCCCTCCCGTTGCCGATCGCATCCTCGTCGCCGATGACCACCGCGACCAGCACGCCGTCCCTGACCGGGCCGGTCTCGTCCGTCACCTGGATGCCACCCGCGCCCGCCCTGCCGTGCTCACCCCGGAGCAGATAACGGCGGCGCTTCAGGACCTGACTCAGGCGGTCCAGGGCATCCGCACCTTCCTCGCGGGGCACTATGGGCTGCAACCGCCCGCCCCCGTCACCACCATCGCAGCTCCCGTGGCAGCCGCCACCACCAACGACCTTCGTCGCATCCATCATGCC